TTATTGCTTTGTTATGAGTCGGTCCATTCTATTCCAACAAAGACGAATAATCTAGGGTGTCATACGGTCATTACTTTTATTTATAAAGATGGGGTATATATACATGCTAAGTTTCTCCTAAATTAGGCTAGACCCCTGAGTGTTTCACCCAAATTGGACTAGACTATAGCTAGTTTTGTCTAAATTAGGTGAAACTGAGTATAATAGATCCGTAATTTGGTTCAAAATGACTATATTTTCATAATTGTTTATTAAAATAATAGTATATCATTTTTTTTTTCCTTGTGGGATCTGCAAGAAAATTGCTGTGACTAAAGTTAGATTTGGCCCAATGAGTTGATAAAGGATTGAACCGTCCCAACAGTTCCAAAACCCTAATATTCACATTTTACATTTCCTTCTCTCCGTTCAACAAAAAACAATAGTAGCCTTCCTCTCTCAGTTCATAAAAAAAAAAAAAAAAAAAAACAGTAGTCGTCGACTGATACGTGGAAGTTTGTTGATTTTTCGCTGGTTTTAGCTCCGGATTAGTCCTCTGTTATCTCTTTTCTTTTAATTTTATGGTTTGTTTTCTCGTTGTCTCTTTTCTGATTTTTTTGTTTCTCAAGTGGTGTTTGGTTGGAAGATTTTTGTAGGATGCATGGGGAAGTTAGGGTGGACATTCAATAATACCATGTTTGGTAGCACTTAAAAAAAAATGCTGGGGAATTTTTTTGTGAGTAATCTTAAACCAAATTCTGGTACACGGATTTTTTCTGGATTCCCGGAAAACTGAAATTTTAAAATTTTAAAATTTTCAGATATTATCGTAAACTGAATGTAAAAATCATATTTTTAAAAATTGAGATTTCCGGACAAATAAAAATTTCTCCTGTACCAAACGCCCCCGTAAAATTTGATGGTATTGTGATTTTGTAGGGTAAATGAAAAAGTTGATGCTAAAATTGTGTCAATATTCCGGATAAAGTTTTGATCTACCAAACAACTTTTTTTAACTTTTCTATCAAACTCATTTTTCTACCACTTCCCTAGTAATTATATTTTCCGAGTATTCAAAAAATTTATCCCCAACCAAACACATGTGCCCATATTCTGTATATAAAAAAATTACAATAGCCGCCACTAGTTCTTCTTCCCCTTCCTCTTTGAAGATTGATTGGGACTTTCTGAGTGATGGAATAATGGAGCTTTTTGAATCTTCCAAAGACAACCTAGTCGCTGAAATGCGGTACGCCGAAATCTCCACCTTCTTCCTCAAATCTCGTGTAATATCAAGAGTGTTTCTTTGAATTGGTGGGTCACTGGTTTAAGCAAAACTCGGTTGGATCGAACCGAGTCAAACCGGTTCATCTGAAAGTCCAATCTTAATAAGGTACCCACGACCGGTTTGCGGGTTTCCGGATTGACCTAGTCTGTTACAACACAGTTACAAGGACATCCCGTAGACAGTTTCCGGATTGACCTTCTCGTTGCACTTACAAAGCCATCCCAGTAAAGTGAGGATGAGGACTATTCTTAGTCCGTAGTGAACAAACAACTATATATGGTTATTGCTTTTGTGATACGAATGTTTGCATAAGATTCAAATTGTGAATCACGTGATTTCTATAATCATATATTAAATAATACTATATTACTTGTACAAAATAATAACAAAGTATTTATATAAATCAACGTGATTTTTGTTAATGTACTTAAAAAGAAATATACTAGGCAATCATATCAAATGTCGCTTATGTAGGTTCCAGTGAACCAAAATGTGCTGTCTAGGAAGTATGTTCAGCCAATCCAATATTTTGCATGTTGGGGTGATCTTAAAAAATTCCTTTATACAGTAAAAATAAAATAAAATCAAATAGAGTGAAAATTGGAGTTTACAATTCATCTTACCCTGCATGTACATAACAAACAAGGCATATGAGAAGCTCAAAAAAGAACAAATTCTTTCTTGAAGAAAACAAACAACACTAGACAAGTATAATTTATCTTCAAAATCCAATTTCAGAGTCTTGCCAAACCAAATTTCATTATTTTGAGACTAATACATTTTCAGGATAGAATGATGAAATAATGTCAAACCTTTGTAGCAATTTTCTCTGGGTTTGTTTGGTAACCTGTATATGCCCAAGCATCTTTCCTGAAACAATAACAATAATAACAATAAGCAAAAAAGTCACTGAAATTTAGACTGTTTGGTACTAATATCCTCTTATGAATTTTAAAACTCAAGAAAGAAAGAAGCATATGAGCAAAGGAGAAGATTTTCTCATCTATATCTTTAAAAAACAAAAAACCACATCAAGTGAATACAGCTTGTTGTTCTTTCTGAATATCCAACCAAAAAGGAAAGTTTTCAAGAGCTATACTAGAAATTTTTCTAGAAAAATTATAAAAAAAATCTTCAATTAATACGCAATTTAGTGGAAAGAGCAATACTAGATAAAGTTATAGGAAACACCAAAAATTCCAAAACTTGGGACTAGTGGAGAGAAAATGGTTAACAAGAACCAATAAAGTGTCATTAACAGTCATTAATACATTAATTAGGAAAATGAAAAGAAGAAATTCTAATCGCTTGAAATCCAAAATAAGTAAGAGCAAACACTTGCAAAGGGAAAACACGTACGAGTAAAAGTTCAATGTTTCACTTGCAGTGGTCACTCGTTTAAAATTTAAGTACAGGTGATTTAGAAATCATACATAATCTCATCTCCTTCACAAGACTACCATTGTTCGCTGTTGTGGTTGGTTGCAACAATAGCGTCGTGAATGACATGTGCAGAATTTGTTAGTATAAGAAAACAATGCCAATTAGTCAAATCAAGATGCAAAGCGCAAAATTTAGCGGGTGAAATCAAAAGGGAAAAAGAAGTATCGTTTAAAAGGATACAAGTTGTGTCCTTTTAGATGATTTACATAAAGTATGACCGGTTATATTTTATGTAAATATGAAAAGTTACTTTTTCTTCTCTCTCCTCAGTCACATCGCTGAAGTCTAAAGTGAAAAAAGAGAGTAACTTTTCAGAATTACACAGAGTATGACCGATCATACTCTGTGTAAGTCACTAAAAAGACACAACTTGTGTCCTTTTAAATGACACACACTAAACCCAAATCAAAATCACAAAAAGTTAAGATTCGATAAAAAAAATATATATAATAATAATAATGAGTAGAAAAGCAAAAGGCTAAAAGTAGAAGATCCAGATCTAGAAGAGTGAAGGTAGAAAGAACAAAATTAATAATTGGATTTGGAACCCAATCGAAACCCTAAATAAGCCATAATCACATAAGGCACAAGGTAGATAAAAATGAGAGATCTTATGTAAAAACTGAACATGTTCGGTTTTTACATAAGATCTGGAATAAAAAATCGTATAAAGTAAAATTAAAACGTACAAAAATTATAAAAATGAAAAAGCGCTTACAATATTAATAAAAAATGTTTTGAGGAAGAAAAAAAAAGTGTAAAAACATATACATAAATCGAGATTTTAATTACTATGATAAGAAGAATAAATAAGACGAACCTGTGTGAGTTGGAGCGATTCAAGGGAGGAGAGACAGAGTGAATTCATAAAAATAAGAAAGGAGAGTAGGAGAAAAGAGAAGCAGAATGAGTTGAAAGATTTTAACATGGTAAATTTTAATATCAAGAATGTGTTTGGTATAAGAAAAAAATTTGAATTCCCGAGAAATTGACATTGATAATTTGTTTTATCCATATTTGGTATATGGATTGTTAAAATTTTTACAGAAAAATCAGATTTCCAATAAAAAAAAAGTTTGAAGTTTTTTGAAACAAAATGCTATCCAAAAATACTATTATGATACCCATAACATGAGAAAATTTCATACAACTTTTTTTGTAACATTTCCATTAATATTTTGATCTACCAGATAGTTTTTTGCAATGTTATTAAAACCGGCTCGGTCAATGACCTGGTCGAGGTACTAGGTCACTGGTTGAACCAGTGGTTCACTGGTTCAACCAGTTGGTCATGTCCCGGAGATTATATATAAGTCTATAATTTATATTAAAAAATTATAAATATACTCAAATATCTGAAAAAAATAATATAAATTCTAAATATTTTAATATAAAAAATAATAAATTATACATTATTGTCCAATAAAGGATCAAACAAACACATAATGCTTGTAATTTTGGTGTTTCAGGTTCGGTAAACGACATCTCTAATTATCAAATCAAAATTCTATTCATAGTGCATAATTGAGATAATATTAAGATTATAGGTACATAACTTATGTAAGTTAATAAGTAACAGATCACTCAAATATGTCAATTACGATTTTTTATTTTGGAAAACTTTTTTTTTTGAAAACCCGGGCCGGGTCAGCAGTTAACCGGCCGGGTCATCGATTTTTCACAAAAATCGGCCGAATCGTACCGGGTGTCCGGTCCGGTTTTGACAACAATGGTTTTTTGATAACATTTTCGAGAAATATATTTTTCCAGCATATTTCTAGGAATCTTGATTCTCATATATAAGAAAATTTCTACTCTAACAAACGCGTTAAGGAAAAAGGTAGCAGAGAAAATTTTATAATTTGAAAAAATTTCGGGATTGTAGTAAATTTTCATTTTTTATTCGGCTTTGCGTCATTAAAAATAAATAAGAATAAATTAATGTGGTTAAACAGCGAATTTGTTGTAGTGTATTGTGGTTCACTGGTGTGCCCTTTGGTCGAAACGATAAGTCTTTCAATGTATTTCTGATTTCCTTCCAAAAATGAAATGTCACAAACTAAAATCCTTAATTTATGTCCTTTAATCTTATTTTAGCAAACAACTTTCCATTTATAGACTAAGTTCTCAACCCAACAACTGCATGGACAATATTACCTTTGAGGTTTGTTTACGTTGTTGATGGTTTTCAAGCTTCCCAACTCCACTATAAGTACGACTCCACCATAATTTGAAAACATCATTCATATCATTGGAAGTACAAGAAGACAAAGTTCAATAGTTAATCAACATGGATACGAAGTTGAGTGTTACAGCAATTGTTTTATTCTTATTGCTGGCTACGTTTGATACAGCTCAATCTACAGTCATTGATATAAAACAATTTGGTGGAGCTCCAAATGCAGATATCACACAGGTATGATCATGTTGAATTCACAAAAAAAAAAAACAAAAAAAAAAGATGATTAAACACACAATTTTTAACGAGTTAAAGGGGGGTTGTTTTTAAGGCCTAAGGGTCACTCATAGGTTCAAGATTCATATTTAAGTTGTCATTGAAGCATAACTTGATAGCTACATCGATCTTCATCATCATGATTATGGTTTTGTAATTGATTTGTATTTTATATGTTATCTCAAGGCTTTCGTAAAAGCTTGGAATGCAGCATGTGCATCAACAACTCCAAGCAAAATTGTGATTCCTGGTGGGACATATAAGATGAATGCAATAGATGTCAAAGGTCCATGCAAGGCTCCCATTGAAGTTCAGCTTGATGGCATAATCCAAGCACCAGCAAACCCAAATGCACTCAATGATGCTTATCAATGGGTTAAATTTGGATATGTTGATTATTTAACCTTATCAGGAAGAGGTACTTTTGATGGTCAAGGAGCAACTGCTTGGAGACAAAATGATTGTGGATTAAACAAGAATTGCAAGAGGCGTTCAATGGTAAATAATATATGGCCATTTCAATTGTCAAACTAATACCTCTACCAAACATGTTACTAACTTAGGTTTCTTGTGAAATATACAAATGTCAACAGAATTTTGGTTTTAATTTCGTAAAACATGGTCTTGTTCGGGACATAACTTCAAAGGACAGCAAAAACTTTAATGTTAATGTTTTGGGGTGCCAAAATTTCACATTTGATGGCTTCGTCATCAGTGCTCCAGGAAACAGCATCAATACTGATGGAATTCACGTTGGAAGATCAACTGATATAAAAATTATTAACACAAGAATTGCTACAGGAGATGACTGTGTCTCAATTGGAGATGGAACCAAAAATTTACTTGTCCAGAATACGATTTGTGGACCTGGCCATGGCTTTAGTGTTGGAAGCCTTGGAAAGTACACAAATGAAGAGCCTGTAGAACATTTGGTAATCAAGAATTGCACTTTGAAAGGTACTGACAATGGTGTGAGGATTAAGACTTGGCCTAGTGCTCCAGGAACTTCTCCCGTTACTGATATGCATTTTGAAGATATTATCATGGATAATGTCCTGAACCCTGTAATTATAGACCAAGAATACTGTCCTTGGAACCAGTGCTCAAAACAGGTAGTTATTCAGTAGCTACTCTAAAATTTGATTATATCTTCATTCATATTATGCTGTGAGGTTTCTTATTGAATTATTTTTTCTATTTTGTGCTTGCTTGCAATGGCGTAGGTTCCATCAAAGATAAAGATAAGCAAGGTTACCTTCAAGAACATTAGGGGCACTTCAAGAAATAAGGAAGGGGTGACTCTTATATGCAGCAGGAGTGTACCATGTGAGGCTGTGGAACTAAGTGATATTAATCTTACATTCAATGGAGCTCCAGCAACTGCCAAGTGTCTTAATGTGAAGCCCATAATTACAGGAAAGGCTCCTCGTTGCGTAGCTTAGAGTCATTGGTTGACAAAATGTTCTGCTTCATCAGATTTTTCTTTTCTTATTTTCTTTCTTCTTTCTGTACTCCCAAGGTCATCCCCGTGAACAGCTTGTAGTTATTTTCATTTATTTTCTCCTCTCGTCGTTGTACTTACAAAGCCATCCCCGTAAAGTGAGGATGAGGACTATTCTTAGTCCCTAGTGAATAAACAACTATATGTGGTTATTGCTTTTGTGAATTTTAAAACTTGAGCAGAGGAGAAGATATTCTCATCTATATCTTGAAAAAACAAAAAACAACATCAAGTGAATACAGCTTGCTATTCTTTCTGAATATCCAACCAAAAAGAAAAGTTTTCAAGAGCTATACTAGAAAAATTTTCAGAAAAATTATAAAAGAAAATCTTCAATTAATACGCAATTTAGTGGAAAGAGCCATACTAGATAAAGTTATACTGAAACACCAAAAATTCCAGAACTTGGAACTAGTGGAGAGAAAATGGTTCATAAGTAGGGGTTTTAACGGGCTGAGCCGAGCCAAGCTTTGGTCTTAAAAGGCTAAGCCTGTGATTAAATGTGTCGGCCTTACCAAGCATGTTACCTGTTACGAATATAACTAGTGAATTACCCGTGCGATGCCCGGGGGAAAAAGAACAAAATATTTATCGCCAGCCGTGGTTGGTTAATCGCACTGCAAAATTTATACTTAAAAAAACTTGTGTTGTTATCTTATTCTATATTTCAGGTGGAAAAAATTACAGCATTGACATAGAACTTTGCAAATATCAATCATAAACAAAAATCTGCTATCGAGAGTGATCAATATTATGCAAATCAAATATAGTTATCTTCTCGATGAGTTATGTAAAAAATAAATACGTCATAGTAGACTATGTTAAAATGAGGATGGGTAAAAAAAGAAAAATGCATATAACTTATTGCTAACTATAACAGCACTAATAAAATCAAGGTAACAAACAGACTAAGCAAATATGGAATTAAAAGATCGGCTTGTACCTATAATAAGAAAACACTATTAATTCAGTGTCATTCTGTAGCAATCATTGGAGGAATGAGTTCAACACATATCAAACATGTGATTTCCTATGTTTATGCATTACCAGGGACATCTTCTTCTACCATCATATTTATGCCTACGATACAAAGTGCAAATACTCATTAAATAAATTACGCTAATATGTTAACACCCAGAAGTAATAATCTAAAAAAAAATGAGTTATTTTTTTTTAGAACCCAAAAAACATTGTCTGAAAGGGATTTGAAAGCAAATTAACCAAATAATAATGTATGAGTCATATTTTTTGCTTACATTGGAACAAATGTGTCTAAACAGCATCAAATCAATACACATGCTAAAAACTTGTAACAATATAAAGAACCCACAATGATAAATTTTTAAAAAACAACAACATACATTTGGGTCCACCAAAGACTTAAAGAATGAGGTCACAATAGCTTCGCTGCTTCAAACACTTGAAACTTAATATCTTGGCTCATTATATGACTCCAAATTATTTTTTTTACGTTGACCTTAAATAACATGGAATTTTCATTAAGAACGTTAAGTTTTCCTGGATAATGTTCCAAATCAGAACCCTACATAAAAAAACTCCTTCAAAATTAAGTATAACTCGTGCGATGCACGGGAAAAAAGAAATTTGTTTGTCTGTCTCGTAAAAGTTAATGTAAATCATAAAAATATATCTCTGCATTTTATTTAAATCAATATTGTTAGCTACCTAACTCCAACTTTTTGTACATATAGAGTTGGCAAATTTTTGAGTTATTATGTTTAATATAAAATAAGAAGAGCAAAATTTTAATTTAATTACAAAAAAATATAGGCGGGTCAGTCCTCCAGTCCGACTCCATTTTGCAACCTCTAATTGTCAGCATTATATACCAGCATGTAATAAATTTTTATATTATCCACACGTAAAAGTTCTTATATTTGCATCTAAGTTTTTATATTTTATCTCAGAGATGGACTTTCGTTTATTGCAATCAGATTTTAAAAAAAAATAAATAATTATTTTTTGCAAGGATTTGCGCCGTTTGTATTTGAAATTTTACAAATTTGTATTTACAAAAATTAAAATCACATTTAAGAATTTAATTATAAAAGAAGAAGGATGAAATTTTAATTTAATTATGAAAATGTTTGGTAGGCCGGCCCTCCGGGCCGAGCCCAGTTTGCCACCTATAACTATTAGCATGTAATAGGTTTTTATATTTATTCACAAAAAAGGCTCTTATTCACAAAAAATAATAAATATTTATTTTTTTGAAAGCATTAGTGTCGTTAATATTTGGAGTTTTATAAATTTGTATTTACAAAAATTGAAATATGAATTAGGAATTTAATTATAAAAAAAGAATAGTGGAATTTTAATTTAATTATAAAAATGTGTTGGCAGGCAGGGCGGGCAGGCCCTCTGGGCCAAGTTTAGTTTACAACCTTTAACCATCAGCATTTTATGTAAATAATTATTTTTTGCAAGGATTTGCGTCGTTTGTATTTGAAATTTTACAAATTTGTATTTGCAAAAATTAAAATCAGATTTAATAATTTAATTACAAAAGAAGAAGGATGAAATTTAATTTAATTATAAAAATGTTTGGTAGGCCGGCCCTCCGGGCCGAACCCAGTTTGCCACATATAACTATTAGCATATAATAAGTTTTTATATTTATTCACAAAAAAGACTCTTATTCACAAAAAATAATAAATAGTCATTTTTTGTAAGGATTTGTGTCGTTAATATTTGAAATTTTATAAATTTGTATTTACATCCTCAGTGAAATATGAATTAGGAATTTAATTATAAAAAAAGAATAGTGAAATTTTAATTTAATTATAAAAATGTGTTGGCAGGCGGGGCGGGCAGACCCTCTGGGCCAAGTCCAGTTTGCAACCTTTAACCATCAGCATTTTATGTAAATAATTATTTTTTCCAAGGATTTGCGTCGTTTGTATTTGAAATTTTACAAATTTGTATTTACAAAAATTAAAATCGGATTTAAGTTGTCTCCCATTAAAAGATGTTAAATTCTTTTTCCACCAATATCAATTTCAAATTTCTAAATTTATCAAAGGAGTGGGATATTAATGCACCTGTCTGCCACTAACTATTGCTGAACTATTTTCTTTGGGTCTTTTGGTTTTTCGATAAATATGAAAAACATTCAAGTTTTTCAAAATGAGGGTTAACAATTCCCATGTAGAAAATAGTGGAAATTTAATACAGTTGTCTCCCACTAAAAGATGTTAAATACTTTTCTCACCTATATCAACTTCAAATTTCGAATTTTAAAAAAGAAATGGGATATTAATGCACATGTCTGCCACTATTTAATGCTGAACTCTTTTCGAATAAACTATTTAGTTTAAATATTTTAAAAAAGAATTAAATATCTATTTTAGAATTTTGAATTAAATAAATTATTTTTCATTCTTTTGTTTTAAAATTCTATATATCGTATGATTGTTTTTCATTCATCTGTTTTAAAATTCTATATCTCGTATAATTATTTCTCATTTTCCATCTTATCATTATGAGCATTGGCAACTCCTATATTTACGAGGATTCCATTCATATATACATTAAAAAATTTCCATTTTTATTCATTGAATTGGCAACTCATTATTAAACACGTAAAAGTGCAAACTTAAAAGTACTTTCTAAAGAATTACAGAAATATCACAATCCCTATATAGTGTAAATATCAGATTCTCATCCAAACCTTAGGCATAAATCCATGTAGAAAGTAATGGTATAATAAATGAGCTGCCACCAATAATTGTCCAAATGTTTTCCCACCACTACAAAGTTTAAAATTCAAAATTCAAATTCAAAATTGAAATTTAAATGAAATTCGAGATTTAAAATAAATATTTCAGAAAATAATGAGTTATTATTAATTTGAAAATTTCAATGTCGAAAGCAGTGGGACATCGAATGAGTTGTCTGCCACCAACAAATGGTTCACTTAAATTTCAATTTATTTTAATTCGTTTTTTAGAGTAAATTATATATTTATTTAATTTAAATTGTTTAGCCTTTATTTTGCAATTTAAGATCCCATTGAATCTGTTGAGCAATTACAATGTGTCATTTCAGTTCAAGAATCAGAAAATCCACTTATAGTGGCAACAACAATTACGTTTTAGGTGGCAATGATAATAAATGAAATTTATAACTATTAATATTGTTTGATTTATGTCTTTACATATTCCATTAAATCTGTACATTAAATTTTCATATATGTTATCTTTACCTACTTAAATGCCATTTAAAATGACGTTTCACTTACCCGTAACTATTAGCATGTAGGTCAACAGATTATACTTCAGCGTAAAACGTAAAAGTCCTTTTTTAAAATGACGTTTCGTGCAGTTTTTATAACTTCGCACAGATTGTAATTATACCCAATTAATCCCTTTTTTTAAAATGTCATTAATCCTTGCTGCGTTGGTATTGTAAAAGTTTGGACACGGGGTATAACAATTTTTTCATTTAAATTTCAAATATTTATGATCCTCCAACCACTACAACATTCACCATCTATTCGAAGTTCACACAATTCACAGTCACCTCCGAGGCTGAGAACCTAGCTAGAAGTTTCAACTTCATCTCTCTTATGAGCATGTCTGCTCCCACTTCAATTCTCAAAGCCTAGCCCTCACCTACACCTTAAAACCCAACCGGCTGTCTTTTCCTTTTAATGACATTTATGCCCTTCCTTTCCTTCAATGGCGTAACCTACGTTAGTTCATCTCTCTCATTCTCGAGATATAAGACATTATGGTCTTAGGAAAGAGAGAGAAGAAATCAATGTTAATTTTAATCATTTGAGAATTTAAATTTTATATCTAGTATAAAAGCGTAAGTAATGCTGAACTTTTTTTTTTGGGTCTTTTGATTTTTCGATAAATATAGAAAAAACTTTAAATATTTTTTAAAATGAGGGTTAACAATTTTCATGTGAAAAAT